GCTACACTCCCTGTCCTTTTTGTTTTTTGAGACAGGTTCTCACTAAATTGATTGGGAGGGCTGTGAATTTGTGATTCTCCTGACTCAGCCTCCCTAAATGCTGAGATTATGATGGATGAACCAGACTGACATCTGAACCCACAATCAATTTTAGTAGAACAAAAGGAGAAAAATGTAACTACCACTAATAAAAGAAAAAGAAAGCAACCAATTTTGAACTAAATTAGTAAGACAGAAAAATGAGACTTTATTTTTGAACCACAGGGGAAAATGTTTTCCATAATTTCAATTACTCAGAGAAGAATAAATGGCTTTCATAAATAATCTTCAGAATTGCTTCTGTTTGCAGGAATTAACAGCACAAACATGTTACAATAATACAAAGTAAAACATTCACAAGCAATTTCAGGACTTTCTGAAGACAAGTAAAAGTATTCTTTCATCTCCACCAAGCTTACACTAGATATGCCTTCAAAGAACTTAACCTGTAAGATAGCTATGAGACCTATATTTATAAAGAAAGCTCAAGATATTTGGTTTCCAAACTTTAAGTTTCTACAGAAATTAAAGTGGATCTGGCCAGATGTAACAGCACACGCTTGTAATTTCAGCAACTCAGGAGGCTAGTAAGTTCAAAGCCAGCCTGGACAACTCAGTGAGCCCATTTCACAGAAAAGTTTTAGAAGTGGGTAGGGGGGTGCCAGGGATGTAGCTAAGAGCACTTTCCTAGCATGTATGGCATGTACAAGGCCCTGGGTTTCATACCCAGTATCAGGAAAAAAAAGTCTGAAACTTTAAGTTCCAAATGGTCCATGGGATAGATACTAAAGTTATAATTATGATATTAATAAAGTTCTAAATATTAAACAAAGCCAATTAATTTTTCTGTTCCTCTGTGAAATAATTACTGATAAAATGTGTCTCTAAAGCTTATCAATCTTTCCTCAAAAGATTATTTTGGTTAACTCAATACTTACTGGAATAAATACAAATCCAGTATTCTTTAAATAAAGCCTGACACCTTTCAGTTTGATTTTTATACGTTGATTTCTTTAGTGATCTTTAAAACATTTTAAATATTTTTTTAAATTGCTACTTAAAAGTTCATAGAATTAAATTATGTGCAAAACAAAGAAATTCAATCTGCTTAAGAGTTCCTGTTAACAGCAGGATTCCTACCTTTGGCACACACAGTGACTGACTGGCATGATGGTCAAGAATGTTAAGGTCAAATTTCATAGCTAAATGTAGAACTCCCTAGGCCCTAAAATCCTTTAAGATATACAAAAAGCTACTACACAACTTCAACTTGTCTTTGTGCTTCTGCTAAATAAGATAAATTTAACCCTTTTGAGAAAAGGCATTTCCTGAACATCTAAGTAACAAATAATTAGCAGGAATTATTACTGTCATAGTCATAACAAAATTTTCCATATTTTTATACTTACATTAACAAAAACTTAATACAGTACTTATGAATATGAATATAGATCTATCTAGAGCTCATCCCTACCCTCCCACAAATTTACATTCTCCTTTCTATTCATTTAAATTCCTTGAACCCTATCTAGCATAAATCGTGAAAGTATGTTTCAAGTCTTTTCTGAACTCAGGAAACTTTCTGCCATTGTCTCATTCAGATATTTCTCTTCTGGAAAAGACAGCTGTAAGGTTTTTCTCTTTGGTTACTAAACCATCTGTTAACCTTTTTCTACAATTTTAAGAGGTTCCTTCAAAGAAGTACTATTTTCTTCTAGAAGGTAAACTATTAAATCCATATTGCCCAGACATAAATTAATAAAAGTAAATGAAGTTTTTCAACCAATCACTCGCTGCTGTAACAAATACACATCTTTTTCTAAAAAAAAATAGAGGGGGACACATTTTATTACAAAAATTTCTTCAAGTATCTAAATCCTTGAAGTAAATCTGGTATAATCTGATGTGAAAGAGCCCGAGGTGAGATAAATAACACAGAAGCCTACTGTCATTAAAAGGTTTTAGCTACCCCATGAAATCAAGTCTTATTTTTTTTAATTATATATTTTAACTTGAAAAAACATTTAATTAACTCTAAGTTGTGACTGAAAAGCTGACTTAAGTCTGTCTTTAAACTAAAAACCATGTCAAGACAACACCTAAATCAGTGGAAATTTGGTTTGCCATATTTCTTCAATGATACTTTGCAAATCAGAATTTTAAAACAAGACATTAACTTGGTATTGCTAATTCTCCAGACATACTGAAAGCTTACACAGAAAAGTATTACAGACTTAGATATCCTTTATCCAAAATGCTTGGGACCAGAATGTTTTGCATTTTGTATCTTTTTGGGTTTTAGAATATTTGCAAATACATGAAATACCTGGGGGAGAGGACCCAAGTTCATACATGAAAATCATGTATGTTTTATCTAGACCTTAAATGCAGTCTGAAGTGCAATATTTTTTAGTGTACCTCTCTTTTGACTATGATCTGTCACAGAAGGTCAAATGTGGAATTACTAATGGCATCATGTCAGTGCTCAAAAAGTTTCAATTTTGAAGCATTTGATTTTTGAACATACTCAACTTGTGTGAACTATCAGCAATATTTGCAATATAGAGATGGGAGAGGTGACTACAAAGAACAACAGATAATCTGTATTACAATAAACACAGCTATTATTCCTGTTCTCCCTTTGCTAACGAAAACTGTCTTAAGTCTCCAGATTTGAAACCTCTGGATTCATTCATCCTCTTAGCCATTTACTTTTGGGGGCATCTCGATGGAACAGGGGCTATGCTGATCACATCTGACTCTTCCTTTCCCCCTGAATCTCAAACTATTAATGGCCAAGTCCCATTCATCTGAATGTGTTCCACTTCTTCCTTTTCCAAAAGTCCAAAGCAGGTCCTTCATTAATTTGCTTAAAATACTAATCACTGAACATGCACCAAAGCAGAAAATGATGGTGTTATTACTCATAAAAATGAAATTCATTCAAGTAAAATCCAAGCACAAAAAAATCGTACAAGACATAATAACATTAAAAAGAATTTAGCACAGAAAAAGATAAAGAAAATAATATAACAAAAAATTGCTGGTAGATGGGTACTTTATTTTTCTGCATTTTGCAAATTTCCTGTAATAAAGTTATTACTCCAAAAGGAAATAAGCTTTTTTATATTCACTTCTGAATTTGTGTAAAAACTATTTCTGATGATGAAAACTATTAAAAATAACCTGCAATACTCGGTATACAACTGCGTTAATCTAGGAGTTCTTTAAAATCAAAACGGTCCTCATCCACGCTCATTTATACATGCCCTGAACTTTTCCTCTTCAATGTCCTGATGAGATTACAATACCAGCTTTCATAAAATAAGCTGCCCAATATTCATACTATTCCTCAATTTTCAAACTTGAGTAATTTACTATTTTCCAAACCCATAATCTTCATTTTTCCTTGAAAAGACATCTTAGATCTATCTTTTCCTCTCCGGTATTACTGGTACTTGTAATCAATCATCTTTCCTCTGGAATCTATCCCAAATATGCTGAATATGCTATAAACTAATCTCTAAACACTACTTTCATAAAATCATTTCTCTTCATGAAATGCAGTGACTTTTGCGTGACTCAAGTCTGCTTGTAGCTGGAAAACAAATCTGCAATTCATCTTATATCTTATTTCTTAAAAAGAGGTAGTTTCCACCACCTGCCTTACAAGTGCAAGGATCCGAGTTCAATCCACTGTACAAAAAAAAAGTAGTACTGCCCACTTCCTTGAATTTAAACCGGACCAGGGTATTCTATTTTCCCTGGGCTATTCTCAATTTCCCAAAATCACAGTTGATACCATAAAGTTAACAATCAACTGTTCTATAACTAGTATATATATAATTTTTGTTTTGTGTATACAATTATTTTGTTTTACATATATAATTTTTGTTTCCCCAAATACAGTATACCATGAGGGTCCAGGAAAACAGTAGACATATAAATGATTAAAACAAAATGAATACAATTTTCCCTATAGTCAAAACACTCATGCTCCAAACTGTGAAGTCAGCTTATTTGAAGTTACGTAAATGTAAATCTTTGTCCTGCCAAATTCAAAGCCTTCAACTTATTAGGAAGGTAATAAATAAAATCACATGATCAAGTTTAATTTTCAAGTTAATTTATCTAGTGTAACTCAGCATACTGGGAAAAAGGAAAACTATAATGTTTCTCCAAATTTTTTCTGTTTCTTGTAGAAGTAGCCCCAAGATAAAAGTACAGCAGACCGGGCGTGGCGGTGCACACCTGTAATCCCAGCGCTTGGGGGGCTGAGGCAGGAGGATCGCTGTGGTTTGGAGACCAGCCTGGGCTACATAGTGAGTTCCAGGTTAGTCTCAACTACATAGTGAGACCCTGTCTCAAAAAACAAAAACAAAAAAAGTACAGTGATTCTTTTCCTTAATATTTTTTCCATAATATTTTTTGCCTGTTACAAAAGAATAATCACTGAAAGATATGTTCAACACATAATAGACTGTCTGAAATGTTTTTGAACAAACTGAAAAATTACTGAGCTAAAAAAATTGTGTTCAGAGAAAAAGTGCAGTGTACCTGCCCATGGTATCACCTGGCATAGCCAATTTTTCCTATCTTCTTTTCCTCCCTCAGCTTTAGGTCCAGTATCTCTAAAGACTTAATCCTCTCCCTTCTCCAAACCTAAATCTAAATTCAATCCAACCAAAGACATTAAATTCTCCATGTTTTCAAGGCTTGTGGTCTTAAGTCTAAATAATCTTGAGATAAGAACCAAGTTTATATAACAGGAGTTAATAAAATAAATGGACTCAAGAATTCTGTCATTCATTGTACATTAACAACTACCTACAAGCAGGCTTAAGCCAAACTGGCACAATGCACAATGGAAAATAAGAATATATGTTGGCTTCCCAGAGAAATCCATAAAAGAGCATCGTCTTAATTGCAATAATAAAGTACTGTCTATAATATTAAGGTACCTGAAGCATGCCTCCCCTGATTCTGTGGCATTCTTTGGAAGAGATCATGGTTGTATTCATAGTATCTGTAGTCTTCATGCACACGATCTCCAAGTGCTTGCCTTCTCTGACCATCAAAAAAATTATCTGAATAATAATATCGAGAACTGGAGTCTCCATTTTCAACAGCAAAATTAACTTCTGTCAAAAATGACTGGGATGAGCCATACTCCCGAGGGACATCTGCTAGACTCCTGGCAAGGTGAGAAGGTGCAGATAATCTGTTGCTTTCCCTTCTCATTATTTCATGAGGTGTTCTTTGAATTGGAGTTCTAAGGAAACTCTGGTTTCTTGAAACTACTCCCTCTCCAGAAACTGAAAAAGCAGCAGAGCTTGAATCTGGAAGACAGATATCAGTTCGTCTTGGAATTGTTGGACCGTGCCGGATAAATGAAGGCATGAGATCTACAATAAAACGGAGTAAAATTACCACTTTGATAAATAACATGTACTTATCTAAGGATTTTCATTTATGTCTATCTCCCCAAAATCAAAATACCAAAAGACCTAACAAAATTTAAATTTTAAGATGGTACTTGGTATTTTAATTTGAGGAAGATTATTTTCCCACTCAAATAGGAAAATAATTTGTGTGGATGTGCTATGTACAAATTCAGCCAGAATCAGACGATTCCACATACTTCCACACATAATATGATGAAGTGTCAATAGCTTAACTATGAAGTGTGTTATCAATGAAACACTCATGAATTAAGGTGTAAAAATAGAAAATAATAAATCATTAAATAAGTACCAGCAGTTATGACTATTTTTTGCTTCATTTTAGAAATTGCCAAAAATTCAGGCAAAAAATTAAAGACAGTATAAGTCTACTCTCAAACATACACAGATTTCCTTAAGATTTTAAAATCAGTAACTCTATGAACTACCTAGTACTAGTAACCAAAGACTGAAAAGCCAAACACTGAATTATGAAAATTAAAAGATCTCATTTCAAAGGACATAAATGTTAAATCAGATAAAAAAAATGCCAAGCCTGAAACTATGGCTCCTTAAAATTATAATTCAAAACAGAAGTTAATGGTAGAACAATGGCCTTCAGGATATATATGCTATTGAATGTGAAAGTTTACACAGAGTGTGAAAATAGCTGAGACATTCTTGGCAAGAAAACAAATGCCTTTAAAACTTGAAGAAAATTGTGTATCGAGCCTGTTTTATTAGTTCATTAAACAATTTTAAGGGCATTTATTAATAAGCTTCGGAGGCTAAAACTAAGTATCAGCATAAAGCTCAACGCTTGATAACAAAAATGAAATAGTTTGAAGTTACTGGCTTATCAATGTGATCTACGCTCAGTAATGCTTAGCAAACTATGTGAAGCACGTAAGTTTTCATTTAAAAATGTAAGAGCAAGTGCAATGAAAACCAAGCTGTTAAAAACAAGTTTAAAAATCAAGGGTCAAGTTACTGATGTACCGATATGGTAGATTTGTTGAAAGTACTGCAACTACCACAATAAGTCTGGAAAGCTGATGATGTTATAATGGAAAAACATGCTCTCCACCCTTTCTGAGTGTTCTTGGGCAAATACTGGGAACCTCTATGAACTTTTCCAATTACAATATGAAGCAATGAGTAAGTCACAAGGTTACCACCAGCTTCCAAGCAGGAAACCTACACAAAGGGCCCTGGAGTTAGTAGGAGCACCTGAAGATCAGTGAATTACCTCACAAATGTCTTGACCGCATGCAAATTTAAAATTCCAGAAATCCAGCTTGAAAACCAAACATTTTAAACTGAAAAGCAAATCAAGGGGTGCGGGAAACATTTGTTAAAGGAAAAAACAAAACAAAACAAAACTTGGCAACTTCCCTGATATGACAGGAATCGTTTTGAGTACTCTGGCTTTTTGAGATCTCACGAAAATAGACAAATACAAATGTTTTCGGCTCTTCTGCAGAGATCTAAAGAGTGATGAGAGGTTGGATAAGGTCGACAAGGGTAGTGGTCTGCTTTTTACTTTCTCAAGTCTACGTCCTGCAGTGGGGCTCCGGAATTCTGTCCTCGGAGTTTCTACTACTTAGGGCACGCGAGTGACACCCGCAGTGTTTACATTCGGATCTCGACGAATGCACAACAGGGTAAGGATCCCCTTCTAGTCACTTTTACTTCCACAGCATCAGAGGATCAGCGATTGCCCCAATATTCCAAAACACTAACACCCAGCCCCGCGAGGAGAGGGTCGTCAGGAAAGTTTATACTTAAGGGATGACTCAGAGCCGGGTAATAACCCTTTCCCTACTCTCCACTGACTGTCGTGAACGAACACCAGTCCGGGCACAAGAAAAAACAAATTAATTTCCCGGAGCCCGAAAGGGAAGGGGCGGCGGCGGGCGCCACGCCGGTCCCCGCAGCCCAGTGTGGGCGCGACACTCACTCCGCAGCAGAGGCGACGTCTCCTTCTTTACGTACTTCCCCTGCACCTCGGCCGGCTTGGACACTTCGTTTTTGGTTTTCTTTCGGGACAGCATCCTCCCGGACGAAG